TTTTCCCATGAATTCCCTCTCTCTGTTCCAGAATCCAATACACAGTACCACATTGCATCAACAAGATTAACTTTTAGAGGGTGCTTTTTCCTGATTTGAATAGTTTGGGTTTTCGTCCCATTTATTTATTCTGTTTTGTTTAAACCACGGGGCCAATATGTGTATGTCAAAACCATTGATGAAACCAGCCCTTTTTCGTTCTATAGCAATCACTTATTTTGTTGTTGTTAAATTTAAAGTGAAAATGATGTGAGTTTGAGCGAGTAGCAGGATAAGCAGGTGAAAATTCTATGAGTTTGATGGAGCAGAAAGAAAACCAGACTGTAATTCACACATTGAGATTCCTCCCAAAGCTCTGCTTTTAACTGCTTGAATGAACTACAGCAAAGTAGTTACACTTCCTATTTCTTGGCTGTGATCTCTGTGAAGCAGGAATCACAGTATCTGTCAGAGAATTACCTTCAGGTGATGTTGAAAAGATAAAATAAGGGGAAGAGTTTTAACTTTCTTAGGAGGCCATCACAAAAACTACAAAGTATGATATGAACTTCCCTAGGAATCTCCCCTAAGTGCCTGTGCATATAGAATATCTGCAAAGATCAGAGCCTGCTGAGGAGAGGAATCCAGTCTACAGTCTTCAGCTATAAGAAATGAGCTTTTAACTATTCACAATAGCAAACACATGGAGTCAACCAAAATACCCATCAACAGTGGACTGGGTTAAAATAATGTGCTGCATACACATCATGAAATACTATGCAGCCATGAAAAGAATGAGATCCTGTCCTTTGCAGCAACATAGATGGAGCTGGAAGCCTTTATCCTAAGAGAATTAATGCAGGAACCAAAAACCAAATACTGTATGTTCTCACTTATAAGAAGGAACTAAATATTGAGTACACATGGACACAAAGATGGGAACAATAGACACTGAGACCTGCTTGAGACTGGAGGGTAGAAGGAGGGAGAGGATTGAAAAACCACTCATCATCAGGTACTATACTGATTACCTGGGTGATGAAATAATCTGCACACCAAACTCCCAAGACGTGCGGTTTACCTATATAGCAAACCTGCACCTGTACCCCTAAACCAAAAATAAAAGTTTAAAAATAAATACATAAATATATACATAGATAAATAATGTAACATCTGAAAAACACACTAGAGCAGAGTGCACTAAAAGGAGGTATTCCTGTAAAGGTTAAAAAAAAAAGAGCGAGATGAGCTTTTAACAATGGAGATTTGTTTCAGGATCTCTGAAACCTCTATCTCTAGTAATTTGCTTCCTAAATTTAAGTGGCATTTATTTCCAGTGTGACTCACACATGATATTCATGTGAGGAATGCACATTTTTTCATTGGTTTCATTCTCACTTAATTGTCTATTTAATGCTTCACACCAATTGTTGAAAACATCCTCTTTCTTAGAGTAACTGAACTTTAACTCCTCTCCCTTGTCCCCAGCCTAACTTCCTGATGGCTACTTCAGTGCCACTTAGCTCTATGTTCTGTTGGTCATAAAGGGTGGGGAAGCACAGTTTATTCCCCCAGCCATGGGTCACCTGCCCTGCCAGGCCGACCTCAGCCCTGGCCTGTCTGAGCCCTATACTGGAGTGCTTGGTCTCCAGCCCTCAAGTGAGAGGTATCGGTAGTATAGGGGCCAGAGGAAAACTGCCCTTTTGACCTCTGAAGGTTTGCTAAAAATCAGCTGACAAAGGCACCTGAGAAAAAGCACACAAATTTATTAACATGCATGGAGCCTTATAAAATAGATCTCAAAGAAATGGCCGAACAGTTGATGCTTTTACACCATCTTGAGGTTACAGAAAGAATGGGGCCTTGGCTCGTAGCCACACAGGTTAGGAGCGGGAGAAGAGGAGGCCTGGCTAGCAAAGGTGGCCTTGTTATGCAGATGAAATCCTGCCCACAGAGAAGACATAGTGAATATTTCTTTCAGACCTTTAAAGATGTCAGTCTCTCAGTTCATCTTTCCTTGATCAGACAAGGGAGGCCTTCAGAGAAAGCCTGGCTGCCTCAATGCAGATTCTCTCTCTTTCTCCTCTCTCTCTCTCTCTCTTTCTCTCTCTCTCTCTCTCTTTTCCTGAGAGAGCTTCTCACTCTGTTATCCAGGTTGGAGCACAGTGCTGAGATCTTGGCCCACTGCAACCTCCGCCTCCCGGGTTCAAGCAATTCTTGTGCTTCATCCTCCCAAGTACCTGGGATTACAGGCGTGCACCACCACGCATGGCTAATTTTTGTATTTTTAGTAGAGAGAGGGTTTCACTGTGTTGGCCAGGCTGGTCTTGAACTCCTGACATCAAGTGATCCACCTGTCTCGGCCTCCTAAAATGCTGTGATTACAGGCGTGACCCACCACGTGCAGCCAGATTTTCTCTACAGATGGAAATCTCCCCAACAAATGACAGCTTTGCAGGGCTGCTTCTGTTTGCAACCCTCTGAACATCCATCTCAAAATATATCAAAGAAGAGTATTTTGGGTGAAATGTTTTGGTTCCATCACTGACCATCTTCTGAGATTATCTGCTGACATTCTGATCCTTATCCTTCCTGAACTCACCCTTCCTGCCTCTGCCAGTAAGTACCCTTTCAATGCCATATTTAATTATATGCTAATTGCCTCATAGGCACAAAGCGTGTTCCCTCAACTATCCTGGTAAGAGCCAACCTGGTAATAAAATAATAACAACAATGAGAATAGCCATTTTTGTGCTCTTCCTGTCTTGTAGGCACTGAGCTCGGCAGTTGGGATAATCAGTCCATGTAACACTCACGTGAAAACGTGGGAATATGAGACACAGAAAGCTGAAGCTATTTTCTCAAGGGCACAGGGCTGGGGTATCTGTTTCCTATGTCTGTTGTAACCATTGACCACAAATTTAGTGGCTTAAAACAACATTTTTAAAAAAAATTAGATTCAGAGGATATGTATGCAAGTGTGTTACATGGGTATATTGCATGATGCTGAGGTTTGGAGTTCTAATGATCCTGTCATCCAAGTAATTAACATAGTACCTGATAGTTTTTTACTCCTTGGTCCCCTCCATCGCTCCCCCCTAGTAGTTCCTAGTTTCTGTTGTTGCCATCTTTATGTTTATGAGTACCTAATGTTTAGCTCCCGCTTATAGCTAAGAACATGCAGTGTTTGATTTTCTGTTTCTTAGGATAATGGCCTCTAGCTGTACCATGTTGCTACAAAGGACAATATTTTGTTCCTTTTTGTGGCTGTGTCGTATTCCATGGTGTATATATACCACATTTTCTTTATCCAATCCCTGTCGATGGGCACCTGGATTAATTCCATGTCTGCTGTTGTAAATGGTGTGGCAATGAACATACAAGTACAGGTATCTTTTTGATAGAATGATTTATTTTCCTTTGGGAATAACCATCAATTAAATGGGTCATCAAGGTGTTGGCAGGGCTGTGTTCCTTGCTGAAGGCTCTAGGGGAGAATCTGATTCCGTGCCTTATCCAACTTCTAAAGCCTGCCTACATTCCTGGGCTTGAGGTACCCTTCTCTGTCTTTAAAGTCAGCAACATAGCATCTTCTAGCTTCTCTCTCCAATTATACCCCCCGCCCCTGCTTCTCCAACTCCCCCTTTCCCTTGAAAGGACCCTGTCGACAAAAAGAGTCAGACTCTGTAAAATGTTTGAAGAGATTTATTCAGAGCCAAGTTGACACAGCCGCAGGAGATGCTAAGAACATGTACCCAAGTTGTACTGGCTACAGCTTGGTGTCTACATTTTAGGGAGACATAAGGCATCAATCGATACATGTAAGATGTACATTGTTCAGTCTGGAAAGGTAGCGTGAGTCAAAGTCAAGGAGTGGGGGATGAGGAGGCTTCAGGTCATAGGTGGACCCAAAGAATTTCTGATTGGCAGTTGATTGAAAGAGTTGATCTAAAGACCTGCAGTCAATAGAAGGGAGTGTCTGGGCTAAAATAACGGGGTTGTGGAGGCCAAGGTTCTTATTATTCAGATGAAGCTTCCAGTTAGCAGGCTTCAGAGAGAATTGATTGTGCATGTTTCTTACCAGACTTTGAAAGATACCAGACTCTTGGTCAGTTCTCACCTGGATCAGGGAAAAGACCCCAAAAGAGAAGGGGATTGTCTACAGAATGTAGACTTTCCCCATTAGAGACAGCTTTGTGGGCTATTTTGAAATACGTCAAAGAAATATATTTTGGGGTAAACTACTTCAATTTCTATTAGGGCCTGCTATCTGTTGTGTTGGTATCTTATTGCTACAAAGAGTCTCTTTTGCCAGTCTTAAAAGCTCTGTTTTAATGTTAATGCTGGTCAGTTGTACCTGAATTCCAAAGGAAGGAGGGTAAAATGAGGCATGTCCAATCCCCTCTTTCCATCATGGCCTGAACTAGTGTTTCAGGTTAAGCCCTTGGAATGCTCTTGGCTGAGAGCAGGGGTCCATTCAGTTAGTGGAGGGGCTTAGAGTTTTATTTTTGCTTTGTAACCCTATGATTACATTGGATCCACTCAGACAATGCAGGGTAATCTCTTCATCTCAAAATCCTTAGTCACATGTTTAAGGTCCCTTTTGCCGTATGAGGCAAAATGCCCTTTTCCCCAGGCTCTAGGCGCCAGGAATTTGGATGCAGACACTTGGGGGCACCAAAATTTTGCCTACCACAGCTGGTATAAAGTAGAAATGGAACTTAAATTCCCTGACTCCAGTCATTGATTTGAATCTTTGGTGACTCAAATGTTTGTTGTGCTGAATCTGTCTGATGACAGTTTTTGTTCAAGATGCTGTACAGTGCTGACCATCTCACATATGGTGTATCCTTTTTCTAACACAACATATACAACATATACTATATTGCTCTTAGAATACTCATGGATGGTATCTATATAATTAGAGCACTTGGTTCTTCTATGTTAAGCATGAAAGAGTCCATTGAAGTGAGCGTTGAAAGCACTGCAATCTCCCTGTTTCCTCTATTTTGGTCTTTTAGGAGGAAAAGCAACTAACTGGGAAGGAGGTATCCGGATTCCAGGCATCCTTCGTTGGCCCAGGGTGATACATGCTGGCCAGAAGATTGATGAGCCCACTAGCAACATGGACATATTTCCTACAGTAGCCAAGCTGGCTGGAGCACCCTTGCCTGAGGACAGGTACCCTGATGCCAGGGTGGTTGGTATTGTTGAGCTCTGATTTCACAGCCCAATATGCTCTGGTTTGCCTGCATAATGGTGTGGGGACCAAGACCTTTGACTCCTAGAGTTTTCCTGAAAATAATCGGTATGAGGCAGGCCAATTAATAGGATAAAAGGCATATAAATTTACTTAATGTATATACACAGGAGGCTTCTGAAGAAAGAGCCAAAGATACAGGGGAGATTGTTCATTTTTATGCTGTGGTTCAACAAAGTACGGGCAACGTGTACAAGTAGGATTGGAGGGAAAGATCTCACCTCAGGCTAATAGACTGAGTAGGGAAACCCAGCCAGGCCTGTCTATCTAGATTCTTCTTGGCCTCTCTGAGCACTGCTCCTTCCTTCTGGGCATGGGCCAGGGCCCTCTCTGGAATGGGAGTCTTAGGACCTACAGTGAAACAAGGAAGATCAGAGGATTTATTTATGTAGGGCAGTTTTTACACAGAAAGGCAGGGGAAAAGTTGGAGTGATACTTTTAGGTTTGATGCTGACTTTGGGTATCAGTGGTTTTGGTTCCTAAGACCTGCATTGGGAAAGAAAGATTCTGGTTTCTCTGGCTCTTTGGGGTAGAATGGGACTGAGACACAGGAGAATGTCGGAGAAAAACTTCTGCTTCTAAGGCCACTGCTGAGGCCTTCGGTTTGGAGTGTCATGCTACCTCCAGCTGGACTTGTTATCTCTTTCCAGTCAGGGGCCTTTCTGGTGGGTTCCGCAGTGTAAAAACCAGTCTGCCAATCTCTTTATCCCAGAGGGAAATAAACTCAGAGGAACTGAACGTCTTTAGTGACCAGGAATGTGGATGGCTGGTGTTTAATTTCAGCCTTCATCTTTCAGCATTGTGCTGACGCTATTATTCTCGTCTGTTCATCCCACCATTGCTTGCCATTGTGCAGCTGGACCACAGTCTCTTTGACCTCCCACATTGGGATCCCACACCTTTTCCTTTGTCCACACTCAGCAGCTTTTTGCTGTAACAGTGAGAAATGCAGCCGATTCCCCAGCTAAGGTCCCATTTCCCAGCATGTCTTCATTGAGAAGTTCTAAATGAAATGTCTTTCTCTTAAATTTAAATACGACTTCATATGACATTGGCAGTGGTTTCTTCCTAAGTGTTATTACCAATCTGAAGAGTTTTAAGTGAAGCACACTGATTAATTGTTTTCATTAGTTTGGTGGCAGGCCAGGCTAATGTCACACAGGCAGCTGCAAATCTTGTTTAAATTCAGCTGCAATGAGAAGTAAGAGGAAAGAGGCAAGGAAAGACAAAAACAACCATGCTGTCAAAGCAAGTTCAAAGATAGGTTTCCTCCCCTCCCAGTGTATTCAGGCTTGTTGGGTTATAGGTTTCAACTCTGCTTTAGGTATACACCCTTCCTCAACATACACACCAATGAGAAGCCAGCACTGACAGTTCAGCTGTTCTCAAACACTGAGGTCTCAAAACCCCTTTTCAGTCTTTCATGATTGATGACCCCAATGATCAAAGTACGTTATGTCAAGCTATAATTATTATATTAGTAATAAAAAATAATTTTTTAAAAAACACGAAAGCACCCCAAGCTCATGTTCCATTGGCTAATGATGACATTCCAATGTTGATGATGTCATCATTCATCCTGTGACCACTAGGAATGTCCACTGTACACTCCTGAAAGAGGGATAGTGAGAAACACAAAGAGTACCTTCCTATTGTAAAAAATAACACGGCCTCGCAGACCTCCTGAAAGGATCCCAGAGATCCCTGAGAGTCTCTGGATCACTCTTTGAGACTAGCAGGTGCTATGGCTAAGAGTGGAGATTCTGAATCGGCACTGGTTGAATTCTTTTTTTTTTTTTTTTTTGAGAAAGGGATCTCACTCTGTCACCCAGACTGCAGTGCAGTGGCGCAATCTCGACTCACTGCAACCTACCGCTCCCAAGCTCAAGTGATCTTCCCACCCCAGCCTCCCAAGTAGTTGAGACCACAGGCATGCACCACCATGCCCAGCTAATTTTTTGTATTTTTGGTGGGGTTGGGGTTTTGCCATTTTCCCCAGGCTAGTCTTGAACTCTTGAGCTCAAGCAATTCCTCCTGCCTTGGTCTCCCAAAGTGCTAGGATTACAGGCTTGAGCCACCAAGCCCAGCCAAGTTCATATTTTTATCATCACTGCAGGGTAAGCATTTAACTTTCTTGGGCCTCCACTCCTTCTCTGGAAAATGAGTTCAATAATAGCACTGACTTTACAGGATTGATAGGAAGATTAAAAACCTCCTTGCTTATAATGTGCAGTACAAAGAAGGCATGAATATTTGCTATTTTTTGTTTTACCTGCCATATTGAAGTAGGAGTCAGGTGTACAGTTCTTTCCTCTTCCATATTTAATATTCATCCATGGTCATAAAATCATATAATCTGAGGAAAAAAGGAGAATTTTAAGATCTACTCCAGTTGAACTATTCTTTCTTTTCCAGTCTAGTGATGGAAGACATGGCAGCAGTAACTCACAGAAAGATTTTTCCTATATAAAGCCAAAAATCCCATTCTCTATTTCACTTTCTCATTGGTTGCAGTTCTTACCTTTGGAATAAAGCTTAATACTTCCTCCAGTAGCTAGAACGGAGTATTCAGGCAATCTTGTTTATTATATTTCTCTCTTATGACCCATATATTAAAACCATCGCCACTCTTCACTTTCATAATATCTTGGAATGGTTTTCTATCCAGTGGGGGAAAAGCAAGGTAAAGAAAAAGTTCAGAGGTAAAGAGGAAGATTCCTAAAGTGAAATCTTACTGCTTCTGCCTTCTAGCCACTCCAGGCTGAGATTGATGGAGACCAATCTGTGTTTCTTGTATGTGCTTAATGAAGAAGGAAATAGCCTCCCTTTTAGAAGATCCAAGTATTTTGTGTGTGGGTTTGCGTCATCAGTAGAACCAACTGTCAATACTGAGGATTCCCCTGTGTTTCTGATTCCTTTCATGGACCTTGAAGGTGCTTGTTGACCTGCTTTAATTTTTTATTTTTTATTATTATTATTTTTTGAGACAGAGTCTCGCTCGTTTGCCTAGGCTGGAATGCAGTGGTGCAATCTCGGCTCACTGCAACCTCTGCCTCCACCTCCATGGCTTAAGTGATTCTTCTGCCTCAGCCTCCCAAGTAGCTGGGACTATAGGCATGTGCCACCATGACTGACTAATTTTTTCACATTTTTAGTAGAGACAGGGTTTCACTATGTTGGCCACGCTGGTCTCAAACTCCTGACCTCAGGTGATCCACCTGCCTTGGTCTCTCAACATGCTGGGACTACAGGTGCACACCACCACACCCAGCTAATTTTTGTATTTTAAGTAGAGATGGGGTTTCACTGTGTTGGCCCGGCTGATCTTGAACTCCTGACCTCAGGAGATCCACCCACCTCGACTTCCTAGAGTGCTAGGATTACAGGCATGAGCTACCACTCCCAGCCTGTTGACCTGGTTTTAAACCACAAATATTGCTTCTGTGTTGAGGTCCAAGCTTCTGGTACTAGTCCAGCTATAAAATGCCTTCATCATCCTAGAGACAGCACAGATTAGAAATGTGCTTCTAAGTGCCTTGTGGGAATAACATTATCACCTAGTAGTTTATTTAAAACATATTGCCAACCAGGTCTAGTAATATTCTTATGTATTTGTCTAGAATTTGAATATCTAAAGTAGTGTTTTTCCCCAGGGGTCGCTTATCAATGCCTGGAGACATTTTTTTATTGTCTTGGCTCAGGGTGCTATTGGCTCAGATGTGCCACTAAACGTCCTGCAACACACAGCAGAGAACCCTACTACAATGAATTATCTTACCCATTATGTCAGTAGTGCTGACATTGAGAAATCCTACCCTCAAACTTATTATTGCTGTTTTATGGAAAATGTTGTTATAGTGGAAAATCCCATCCAAACTTTTCAATAAAAGCATCTAGACAATACCATCACATCTATATCCATCAATAAATGTGATACACAGATGTCTGTCCTTTAGAAAATAATCTTAACTATTTCCTGCTCAGAGAGGTGCAAATAAGCTTTCTCAGCTTCCTGCTAGAGCTAATTAAATTTGCATTTCTCAGGAGAAGAAACTCATTCAGAGGGTTGGAAAGGCTGTTTGATGAGCACTTAACAAAGTGCCTTTGCTTCTTTCTGCATTTTGTTTGAAGCAGAGAATTTCTGTTCGACAGACCCCCATTCTTCAAGCACTGTCCTGTAATTCTTAAGAAACGTTTTAGATCTAGTGGGAGCCCTTCCTGGCCAATCAAAACATGCTGGGAGAGCAGAAGCCCTTGGATCCAGGGTTTTTACTTAAGCAAAAAGAAAGGTAGTCCAGAGGAACACAGGAAAGAATTTTTATTCTTTTTTTTTATTTTTTTTATTTTTATTTTTATTTTGCTTTGCAGCATCTTAACACTGCAGTGAGAATAGTTCTTCAATTCAACTGTACGGGATGCTTACATGAGATTTCTGTCTGGCAGTGAATTTTTCCTTCATATACACTTCAGTGATACATTTTCATTCAGTGGCATGATTTATCATAAGAAATTTCAGTGTCCATCACCCTGAGCATATTCAGAAAAATTATTCCCCTCTCCCCCCCCCAGGTCTCCAAAATAAGCTGATTTTGGAAATAAATGGAGGACAACCTTTTGTGTTACAAAAGGCAGGCAACAAGGGCTTACAAAAAAGAAGAATCTAATACCTAAATGTTTTAATTCATTAACCTGAACATTCTTTCTGTGGGTTTCATCTTTGCAAGCAGATATAATATTGCCATAGTATAAGTATGACCATGCCTCTTCCTAACATGATATTAACATCAGTAATAAAGGATGGTGACAAACCATATTTGGTTACACCTTTTGGAAAACATCAACATTTTAACCATAGACCCTTCAGCTGGGATGCAAGGAAACAGAGTGCTGGCAACCTCAAGAATCAAATTTTACAGGTGAA